ATGTCTCTGATGTAAGCGACAGTTTACAATTATTTGTCTTTAAAAAATATTAAGGACTATTAATGGTTTATAACAACAAATGAACATGCATGATATTGAGAATACGGTGTTGCAACGTTCTAGTTAATGACCCGTCATAAGCAGTTGGTCGCTGCGTAGTAATTGGAAAATTGTTATCAAAAATAATAAAGAATATTTGCCACTAAATTAAAGCATTTACTTATAAATTTTCATTTATGCTTTTTGTTAAAAAAATATTGATAAAGTTAATATTTTGAAGGGTTTTCATACCAGAACTATTTATTACAGACGTACGTTTGCCTAAACCTGATTACCGCGGCAGTATGACGTCACGGAGTAGTAATTTAAACAAAAATCAAGAATTTTTCAGAGAATTATTATCTTTACAAATTGCAGATATGAAATTAAAGAATGAAAATATTTTCATATTGTAAATGTCTGTGATGAGTGATGAGTCAGCTTAGAAAATATCAAGGTACTATTTTTTGACCTGATTACCGCGGCAGTAAGATTTGACAGATGGTTATTAACATTGGGTCGGCATAGCCTCCCCAAAAAGGGTTCAAAATTTCAAAATTGCTCATATTCAAATTGCCTCCAGACACCAATAACTAAAAGTAACAATATCTCTTGACGGTTCAGGATCAGTGATTTTTTCACTGTATTTTACAGCGGAATAAAGGCTGTTTCCCCTAGCCCAAAATAGCTTTATTTTCCCCTAAAAATGCTAATATTTTCCCCTAAAATGCCTCATGCTCTTCCTTACCAGAACCATGACTAAACAGCATCTGACTTATATCATCTAGAAGAAAGAAAGCATCCCTATAGATAGCCACTACTATGTACCATGCATGTTAAATTGAATTGAAATTATTATTTTTTCATAAAATGTGTGGGCAAATTCAATTTTCAGTTGTTTGAATTTGATTTCAGGTTTCCCAACTTTTCTGATTTATCACGCTATATTTTCCCCTTCAGAGAGCCACAGGTTGGTTTGAAAATTGGGAAAAAAAATCACTGCAGGATATATTTCTTTTCAGGGTTCACATGTGTTAAGAATCTAGTTAATCCTGTACTGTCTTAAGACTTTATACAGTTTCCTATTAAACAGTTTTTCAAGCTACATTTTTTCCTTAATACCTGACTTTAACAAGAGCACCGCAAAGGTGGGGAAATTTATGCCTGAATTTAATTTGTTTGAGTACTCAAAAATAATCTTTCAATTTGGGAAGAGACTAAGACCCAATCAAAAAACTTGTCTGAAAAATGTTTTTTTCTTTATTGATACTACAATTGATAACATGTATATGTTGACTGATGCGGGGGCATTTTTTTTTCCACAGGTGCATGATTAAATAAATATTATATCGGTTAACTAGGCAATGCTATTTGCCAGATATAAATGCATCGTAGTTATCTAGTCAAACAAAGCTACATTCTAATATATTTTCGTTTTGGGTCAGAATCTCGCTTTTATGTCAAAACCATATCAACTAGAAATGTGTCATCATGCCACGGATGCCCCCGCATGCAGCCAAAATTTCAGATGGTGCATTAATTATTTTTTTCATTTTAAGTTCAAAGCCCTTAAAACTTTAAAATGTTAACACAAACCATTTTCATACAATGTTCAAGACACTGAAATTATTCAGTGTTAACCTTTTAAAAATAACATATTTCATATTTGTAGCCAAAATAATGGCTAAAAGTATGAGTGCTGAAACTGAAAGTACAAAATTTTTCCAACATTCAGGAAAGATAAGTTTGTCTAAAATCACAACCAAATTCATACTTAAACTGCTTATTCCTAAGATGTATCTATATTATTTTCAAAGTGAAAGGGACATAACTCTGCAAAAAAAATCATCAAACCATGACCAAATTTCAACTTGACCTGCCCATTCCTTTGACATATCCATATGTCAAATTTAAGTTGAATATGTAACACTGTTGGGTAGATAATGAACAGAAACTGTAAATTTCATATTATTTTCAAAGTGAAAGGGGCATAACTCTGCCAAAAATCATTGAACCATGACCAAATTCCAACTTGGCCTGGGCATTCCAAAAATATATCCATATGTCAAATTTGAGTTGAATGTGTTGTACTGTTGGGGAGATAATAAACGGAAACTGAAAATTTCATATTACTTTCAAAGTGAAAGGGGCATAACTCTGCCAAAAATCATTGAACCATGACCAAATTTGAACATGACCTGCGCATTCTTTTGACGCATCCATATGTCAAGTTTGAGTTGAATGTGTTGTACCGTTGGGAAGATAATGAACGGAAACTGAAAATTTCACATCATTTTCAAAGTAAAAGGGGCATAACTCTGCCAAAAATCATTGAACCATGACCAAATTCGAACTGGGCCTGTATTTTCTAATGACATATCCATATGTCAAGTTTGAGTTGAATGTGTTGTACCGTTGGGGAGATAATAAGCGGAAACTGAAAATTTCATATTATTTTCAAAGTAAAAGGGGCATAACTCTGCCAAAAATCATCGAACCATGACCAAATTCGAACTTGACCTGTATTTTGTCATGACATATCCATATGTCAAGTTTGAGTTGAATGTGTTGTACCGTTGGGGAGATAATGAACGGAAACTGAAAATTCACATTATTTTCAAAGTAAAAGGGGCATAACTCTGCCAAAAATCATCGAACCATGACCAAATTCGAACTTGGCCTGTATTTTCTAATGACATATCCATATGTCAAGTTTGAGTTGAATGTGTTGTACCGTTGGGGAGATAATGAACAGAAACTGAAAATTTCATATTATTTTCAAAGTAAAAGGGGCATAACTCTGCCAAAAATCATCGAACCATGACCAAATTCGAACTTGACCTGTATTTTGTCATGGCATATCCATATGTCAAGTTTGAGTTGAATGTGTTGTACCGTTGGGGAGATAATGAACGGAAACTGAAATTTCATATTATTTTCAAAGTAAAAGGGGCATAACTCTGTCAAAAATCATCGAACCATGACCAAATTCGAACTTGACCTGTATTTTGTCATGACATATTCATATGTCAAATTTGAGTTGAATGTGTGCAACCGTTCTTAAGATAATGAACGGAAACTGATGATGACGGAATGACAGAATGACGGAAGGACGGAATGACGGAACAAGGTAACACTATATGCCCCGGCCATTACATGGCGGGGGCATAAAAACGCAAATTTCACCACAGAAAAGGCACTTATTATGTTGTATGCAGAGAGACACAGAATAGCACAAAATCTTGTCGCACAGTAGTCCTAAATATAAGACCTATACGTAACCTATTTCATATTTATCAGTCATTAATCTGATATTTTACATTTTTCATTTTCCATGTTACGTTAGGTCTTAACAGATCTTTGCAAAATCGTGTAGCAAACAAATTGACATTAGACATTGACTTAGATCTAATGCATTTAAATAATTAAGGCAGCGTGAATTTACATTAATTTTGACCTATTAATGAACAAAACTAGCAAATAAATACCTTTTAACAAAATAATTAAACTGTCACATCCGAAAAATCTTAAATCCTCTACTTTGTACAGTAGATATACAAATGGCCGCCATACAGTGCGAGAAATCTGATTGGCTTATTCAAATGTAAGCGTTTAAATGGGTCCTGAAGTTTCTAACGGAATATTTTTTCAACGAAATAATTGCCCATGTAGATATACCAACAGTGTGTTCGAATATATTTTTCCGTTCAAAAATTTGGAATCAATCTGTAAAGCACTTTACTTAACCAGTATGGCCGATAGGCAAAATAGATTAATATCTTTATTTTATTTTTAATTGATAAGTAAATTGATTGAGAGTTTTTGATGATTGAGCATGCAATTGAAAATAAAAGGAAGATAAGCTTTTGAATAAAGCTTGAAACGCAAGACAATAGACATTTTTTTAAATGCTCTGCGTTTAAAAGCAATAACTAGTAGACGTCAGGCTTGACCGACATAAAACTATAACAAGCCTGTAATGTCTAATATATTGGACAGAAAAGAGTCAACTCTGCCCTATACCAACTCGGCACGGGTCAACTCAGCCTACTTTACAAAAATATATATAACGTATTAACTTTGCATGTTGTTAAGGTAAATGAATAATGAGAAATATTTTATTATTATATAATTATACATCTGCCGAAATAAGTACATTTAGATTTTTTTTTATTTAATTGTCTTGCAGATTCGATAAAATTAATATAGATCGATCTAATCAAAATGTGTTTCCTTAGAGGCATTTTGTTTGTAAAAGTAATATTAAAAAAAATATGAAACAAAAACGTGTTAACTTCATATCATATAGCTTCTAAATAATTGCAGGTGGTCACTAATCAAATAAATGAATGAGTCAATCTTAATTATCACCTAATTAATCGGTATCCTTAACATACACACTGATTGATAATAATAGCCCGTAACAATATATATTTCTTCACATTGTTTGACACTGAAGGTATTTAAGTCAGAAATACAGTGAGATACACAATCGGTTATCTTTACTCGCAATTCTACTGATAAGAAAAGCCTGTCTGCTGCTAATTCGGAAACTGTCAATAGGTGTATTATAAATAATTACAATAATTACAATAAATAGTGATATCACAAACCTAAATATTAATAATTGAAAAGTGGGCCGAGTTGACCCGTGCCGAGTTGGAATAGGGCCGAGCTGACTCGGGGGCCGAGTACGTTTTAGGGCCGAGCTGACCGGATTCTATTGGACTAGTCGCACAGTACAATTAGTTGGACTAAGTAGTTATCCACAATAAGATGTGTTTTCCTAGTATAATGAGATAATTTTTGATAGAACAAGAACAAACACCTGAGTAACTGAATATTGAAGTCAGTAATTATGTGAAATTCACTAAAATTATTAGCAAATTTATTAAATGCAAAACAAATGGATTTTGCGTCGCGAAAATTAGTTACAAAACAGGTTTATCAAATTATAAAACCTTCAACAGTCTGTCATCGAGTCCCATCTCGTGGAACTCTAAGAATGTCTCATCCTCTTCTTCAGCCATGATGATTAAACTTTTCTATATTGTAAACTTTATGAATTTCAATATATTTATTTCTGACAAAATTACACTGGTTCTGTTTTTTTACACGAGTAAGTACAAGAACGGGAACCAATTGTTCCGGAAGTAAACATCACATGTTACCCTATTCTTAGCATCCGGAAATATTTTTATATCAGATTGAACACCACTAAATATTTCATTTCAAAAGTTTTGGAATAGACAAAAAAAAAAAAAAAAGCTCACAGCGTTTAAGCAATTCATCACCCAATACACATTTTCATACTATCGTACTGTAAAATATTATAAATTCTAACTGCGGCATAAGTGACTGCCACAATCTGATTGGTTTAAAATTGATTGTACCCCATTTTCTAAATGGAAATATATAGTATGCATGAAATATAACTTTATCACGTTGGTATAATTTATCATTTGTAAATAGTTTTCACAGAATGTTTGCCTATATGTTACTAATTGCATAATTAAATTTAAATTCGTTTCGTTTCCTTAGAAATACATATATCGTCGGGTTAATTATACAACCCCGTAACTCGATTTTTGGCAAAATTGAGAGTTTAATATACTTATGTAGTTACAGCATATTGCCTTACAGTAATATACATATATTGATGATTTAGTTTTTATAGCTCTAGCATTATTTTGAGCTATATTGTAAATGTCTTGAATAGATAGATATGTAAATACTACATTTATTCGGATGATTACCATTTCGGACGGCCTCGATGAGTACTATAATTTTTTTCGTTGTGCCGCAATTCTGTCTACCAAGGATTTTTAGCACGAATTCGCTCGTTTCCTGATATATATTTCATGAACGACTTGGGTCGGTCTCATTTGGAAGCTTAATACAAACGTGAAATACTAGTACTAAGTAGTGATAAAAGTTTTTTTTAATTGTCAGGCCAATTGTTTTCACAACGGCCCGTGAAATGAATCCCTTGCTCGTAGGCTCGAATCTGGAGTTTCCGGCCTTCTCTTAACTTATAGTATATATTTTTAAAGAAGGTCATTATTTACAATTTTTTTTTATTTTTTTTTTTGACACTTTTAAGATGAACACAGGTTTTTTTTATCAATCTGGTTATATTTTTTCTTCCCAGGTCCGATAATCGTGCCTGTGATTTTACACAGTAGGAGAAGTTAATGGTATTTTTTACTTGAATTGTTGCTATGTTTCTAGCCGAAATTATTACACTTAGTCAATTTTGCTTCAAATGTTTTACTTAGAACCCCGTATGTCGCTTTAATGGTGTAGAAATGACCTGAATGTTTTGCCAACAACCCAGTATCTCCCGAATTGGGTTTTAGAATACAGAATATGTATGTGTTTTCTTATTTATTATGAAAAATTGAAATAAATTATTTGAGATTTTAGGCACAGAAATAAAATTTGGTATATATGTATAACAGACAGATTTCTAAATTCACTGAAATTTTTATTTTTATACGGTTTATCATTAAAAAAGTTATAACAGTTCAAACTTTCAAATGCGATTTTCTAAAAATGACAAAAAAAATGACATACGGGTTTGTAGTTTTAAGCCAACAATATTTTTAACTGAGCAATAATTTTTTAAATTGCAATAAAATAAAATGCATGGAATGTTTCGCGAGAATGTAGATCGTATTCATGATTTGTATTAGTTTTTATAGAATATTTTAATAGTTATGTAAGGTTTACAATAAAACTTGGTTTAATTTCGTTTTGTTAGAAATATTTTAATTGACAAATAACTTTTTAAATGGCAATAAAACGAAATGCACGAAATATGAATCTATCTATGTTTCGCGAGAACGTAGGCCCTATTAATTTATAATTTGTATTAGTTTTCCGAAGTGCAGCTTAACCAATTAATGACAATAAAATAAAATGCGTAAAATATGAATATAGCTGATCTGGGAGGAGTTGTTTTCGAGGTTATCTCTCCTGTTCCAGATGTTAATTTTCTTAAAAACATGTACATCGAGAGCGGTGAAAACAAAGTTCACTTCACATCAGCAGGTGTCAAGTGCTGTGTGGCAGCTGTAAAAACTGTAAATAGATGCTCCGTACTTTACTTCAATGATGTTATATATGTTATATTTTTCTGGTGCTCCGGGCGCATTGATTCGTAAGTTTATGATTAATTACTATAATTGTTCTGATTTTCTCATTTGATCTAATGTATACTTTTTAAGGTGATTAGTCATTGAAAATAATTAATAAAAATTTACTTGATTAGAATAATCATTAGATATTGATTATTTTTTGTTGTTGTTTTTGTTTTGTTTTTGTTTTAGAATGAATTATTAATGAATTTTGATAGCTAAATTTAACGAAGAAAGGATGCTTTAAGTCAGCTGACAGAGATAATTGAGGTGTTTATTAATTCATTTCTAAAGAATCAAGGTCTTGATTAGATTAAAATATCTGTGGAAAGGTGTTGATGAATAAGTATTTTTATTAGTTATTTGGTATATATTGTTTCATGTTAGTGACTACATGTTCTTATTTAATTTTGTATAAAAGTAATTGTGAAATGTGATTTCATACCAGTTGTCGCTTATTTATTTTCTAGAACATATACTTATTATACCACCTTATTCCCAATTTAACAAATGAATGAATACCACTAGACCTTTACATAATTACAAATATTCTTACTCTCTCACAATGGAGGTGTTGATGGGATTAAAATACCTGAAAAAAAGTATTAAATTTAAAAACACTTTTCATAGTAAACATAAAACATAAAATGCGCTTCATATCAAACTCATTTTTTTAATAATCTTCATTAAGAAATGATTAAAACTAAAATGATAACTTAAAAAAAGTTGGGAGAGAACTGTCTGCATATTTCAAATTTGGCAGAGAACCGTCAGGGGAGGAAACGGTTTTGGGGTAAGGAAGTGTTAAGGAAGAGCTGAAAACTTTTAGTTTTCTTAGACCCTTAATCGAGCTCATCACTCCGGACTATTAGAATAAGGTAACGCCATCTTTGGGGAAAATGTCGAAGCGGCATCGCATAGACGTCGGTGACTCGTACAGCAGGAGAAGGTAGTGGGTTAAATGCTGAACATATATGAATATTTCATTCCACCCTGTATGACAATATTGTGGCAACAAAACATGGCGACTATTTGAACTAAAGTGGCAGAAATTTCGGCCATTCGAAATATTTTTTCACCATCATGACATGAGCATGCCATGCTGTCCGAGAGAAAAAAATCTTGCATTTTATTGAAATACATTTAGATTGCCAGTCTCAACATAAATTTATAGGGCAATCCCCCGTGTCTATGATTTACGGATAGCTAGACCTGTTGTCAACTTGTCACTGTTTTTACATAAATTATTTGGTAGCAAGACACCTCACCCCCAGACACTTCACCCCTCAATTTTTGAAGACACTTCACCCCTTAAGACACTTCACCCCCCAAAATCAATAAGACACTTCACCCCTCATCCAATTTTTTTCTTTAAAGTAAATAAAACAAGTTGGTCAACAACAAAATGCTTATATATTATTACCTTTATTTTTACTAAGTTTAAAGCTGATTTAGGTTAATTGGTTGTAGTCCAACTAATTAGACTTGTCAAACAGACACCGAGATAATTTTGGACGGGCGCTGTCTTTTTCCAAGTCCAACCACGAACTGCATTTTTATGCACGGACGCTTCCCAATTAGAAGTTGTTGGGAGCGAAAACTAGAAAAGTTTCAAAGAAACGGTCTACATTACCTGAAAGAGAATCGTTTTTTATGCAAGGTTCCAAATTATCATACTTCAAAGTCGTATAGAAGTCTAAATATTCCACTTTAATTTTTTTAATTGTTGAAAATTATTGAAAGCGGCCATATTGGAAAACGGTGTCATGGTAAAATTGTAAACGCTGGTAAAATCCATGGTGTAACACAGGTATCGGCGGCAATCGATTGTATTCGCCAAGCTTTATTATACAATTTGTTTATGTTTTTTATATGAATTATTGCAGGAATAACTCTTTTATTCACACACAAATATTTCAGCATTAAAAAGAGAATGTGTAAAGGAAATTATGATAACCTCAGACTTCCCGAAAGTTGAAAAAAACTGTCAGACATTCGGTCTGACAAACCAAGAAAATCTGTCGGACCGAAACAAAATCTGTCGGACCAAATAAAATTGATCAAAATCAAAGAAAAACTTGTGTTTGTATTTCTAAGACACTTTTTGTCTTTTATTTTTTCGCCGTAAAAATCGGCACAGTCTGTACAGCGCATTTTCATCTCCTCCCTGTCATACACCAATGATTCATGGTTCTGCTTCCATTTTTCATTAAATTTTGTCTCAGGTCTATTCTTTTCATCCTTTATTGCTGTTCTGCGCACTCTTCTGACGTAGATTTTCGGTTTTTCCCAGGTTTGGCACCTTTAGCGACGCCATTTTGTATAAATGTGGCTTGGATAAAAGCCGGACAGTCGGACCGATCCGGAATAAAAAATTGTCGGACCTGATCAAAATTTATCGGACATGTCCGTCGGACCGACGTATTTCGGGAAGTCTGTAACCTTACTTAGAAATTAAATAGTTTATGATGTCCGATGTCAGATCATACTGCATTTAAGTCCGTTTAAATTGTCAAATTAGATATTATTAAGTTGGACTTTTTAACATCTGTGATCATTAGGTGAAATTTCTGAACTACCTTTTTATTTTATAACCCTGCCATGATTTCCCACATACAAAAATACAATGTAATTGTAGGTACATCTTAATGAATTATAATTATACTATACATGATGAAGCAAAAAAGAATTTCAATTTATATTACACTCCATATCAATTTCTAGTTTATTATCTTTAAAAGAAATTGAGGACGGTTGTGTATGGGAAGAAGTTCAAAACAACCAAAAATAACTTTAAAACTCTGAAAAAAAAATCTTAAAATTTCAAACTATAAAATGGAATTTCAGACAGTCCTCAGTAAAATACAATTTTCGCACAGATTTGACGGGGTTTATGATAAAAACACAGCAAGCGGAAATTTAGTGACCGTTATTTAGATGTTGAATAGCATAACAATGTAAGACAGATGGGAGAAATGTTGGAACGACTGTCGCAAAAGGCACCAAAACCTCTGATACCCATTAAAAATTCCATGTTATCTAGTTCCCGTTGAACGGCACCTCGAATGTGTCACATTGAAAGTTCCATGATTACCGCCGTATTATGTACACATCTGTGGATGTTGATTAAAAATTTCAACATTATTATGTTTAAGTGATCAATTCTGTTTAAACCGGTGAAAGGGAGCACTTGAACCTACCAGAGCCGTCTTTGGCACTCCTGTGTATTTATGTTTCTATTTTGCAGTTTCAGGCGTTTTTGGTGGTTTTTTTGGAGGGTGGATACATGAATGTGGATAAGTTTTTTCTGTTTCTTTACATTTCTTTGCTTGCTTGCCGAACCTTGTATTGGTAATCATTATCTGTTTGTTACGGTTCGGTATACATGTATACAATATGATAAACAAGATGAACAAGGAAAGGCGGCGTTTAATGAACGCAAACCCCACACGACCCAGGAACATGAACCATTGGCAAGGAGCCCAGGAGGATCCTAAATTAAAACGGGAAAGGGCGCAAGGGAGAGCACGGTCAGGCTTATCACTAAAATGTAACTGAGAAGGAAATCAAAAAAATAAATAAATGAATGATTAATAGGACCACTAAGTTAACGATCACAGGGAAGGGGATAAGAAATTCGGGGAGGGGGCGAAATAAAGAAATAAAACTAGGGGCAAAGGGAAGATACTTACCAAAGACGAAAAAACAACAAGGGACACAAACAAAAGTGTCACCAAAACAGTATGAAACAGGACCACTAAGTTAACGGGCACAGGAGAAGGGGATAGGAAATTCTGGGGAGGGGGCGAAATAAAGAAATAAAACTAGGGGCAAAGGGAAGAAACTTACCATAGACGAGAAAACAACAAGGGACACAAACAAAAGTGTCACCAAAACAGTATGAAACAACAAGACATACACCTTATACATTTATAAGTCTCTTAATCTGTTCATTTGAAAACTCTGATCTTCTCAATGACTTTTTTTTTAATATCCTCTACTTAAAATTTATTTCAATTAAAATATGTGACCCTTCCTTTATAGTTACACAGCATATGGCTGGATCACAATAAAGTTCCTTTTTAGTAAATTAATAAAGTACGTCAAGAAGACATTTAACTTTATCAATAGGTTTAATATGGTATTATATATCGGCAATCGGTGAAAAAGAGCTCTTGAAATATTATTTGTACAAATACTGAATAATTTGAAGTGTATTTCAAATAGTTTCCTTCAATATTTCTTTTACGTTCTTAATTGTCATATAACAGGGCACTCGTTTGGTCGTTTTTGGGGCCGAATATGGGTACCATTCCCCTCTCAAAATCATATGTATTTTTCCTCTATCACAGAAAAAAATCCCCTCCAAATTCTAAAATAATTCAACATAAAGTAATTTGTTTGATTTGTTAGTCTAAATTAAAAAAATATACTAGCTATTGATTTCAATGGTAGGAAAATTACAAACTATTGAAACCAATGGTAGGAAAATTAATAGTGTAATGAGTAAATATGATAAAAAATACACTAAATACATTATAACATAAAATTTCAAATTTTGCCTTAAAACGACGCAAAATTCCCCTTCCTGAGGGTATTGGTACCTGTCCCCAAAAGGTGTCTAGTGCCCTGTATAAATATGCATGTATAAATGAAGTCAGTATTTTATCCGAGAGTGACATTTGGCAGTCATTAGCAGTAAACAAGAAGGCAAACCACCAATTGATAAATGTTGAGTATATGTATTAAAATATTTAAAAAAATATTAAACAACAGTACTTGTACAGAGCCTATTTGCGACCATTGCATTTTAGGTTAAATACAATGATACTTTTCAATAGTATTTAATAATGCACACATTTATTAAAAAATAATGAATAGATTTATTTCCCCCGATATTTCGTTTAATTTAATCTTCATGCGTAACCCACACTTACCTGCTAGCAGTGCCAAAACACCATTTTTGGGGAAGGGGCCTCAGCCTTTTTCTTGGGGAAAATATGCGTGATTTTGGCATACTTTGGGAAAAGGGGTCTTAAATTTAACACAAACTTTTAACAAGTTCTTCAAAATAGAAAAGCAAAAAGCACTGGGAAATACAAATAAGGCAGTCAAAATCCTTAATTCAACACCATCATTTAATTTTGTTCTAAATTCTATGGGAAATTTCAAAAGACTGGGGAATTTTGAGGACCAAACTGGGGAAAAAAAGAGGCTAGTTTGGTTGGGGAAGTAGCCTATATTCGGCCCCTACAAAGAAGGGTTTTTTGGCCCTGGCTAGACACACTGGTAGCTACTACCAGCTTTCACGGAATCGATTTTTTTACGATGACGTCATAACATGTCGCCTAAGATAGAGTAGACAGTACAAATTTGAAATAAATCGCATGTATGCGTTCAGACAGGTTCAATCTACTATTTTTTCTAGGAGAAGTTAGTACTAAAATTTATATTCTATTGATCTTTAGAGGTAATTGAAGTTACTTTCAGGTTTAAGCAGTAAAAATCAGTCCAAACTATCGATAGTGTTACCGGTAGATTTTCCGTGCGTAAAAATGACTGTTAAAATTAGGCGTAACGGTTTGACAGTAAGAAAAAAAAAGTCTGTAAAATGGGTCAAACCGTTCACGCCAAATTAATTAGGCTAAATTGGTTGTATCACAGCACTTTCATCCATTAAGTGTTTATTGCATGTCACCTTGTTTATTCAATATGTTGATTAGTTGTTTATTCAACTGTTATCTCACAATTGATTAGATATTAAATTGAATTAAAATGGTATAATTGTATGAAAATTAGATTTATTCTTAATAAATAAATTTAATGAATAAATAAATAAAATGAATATAAATGAATATGAATGAATGAATCGGTTGCTTTATAAAATATAGTAAATATAAATTATTTATCATCATTATCAGACACAATTATCAAGATCATTCATAATGTCATTTATTAAACAAATAAATAGCACCAGTTATGTAAATTAAGCACAAGGTTAAAGCACAAACCATCACCAAATGAACGTAACTCAATGATTATTATATGGTAAGGATCAAACTGAAAACAAACTAAGTAACAAAACTTCAAGAATTCAATCAACTCAAAATTTATTAGACAATGGGTTAAAACAATAAACATACAGGGCTCCAGATAATTTTTTAGGACATTGAGTATTTACTCATTGATTTTTTTGTGAATGAGTAAAACTTGAAATCTGAAATTTGGCAGGAGTATTTTTACTCCTTAAAATGTTTGTAAAAGAGTAAAACATTTAATATGCTTCCATGTTTATTGTATTATTATACTTGTAATAAAAGATATGTCAAAGTCATTTCTTATAATCTTGCATTTCCAAACAGCATACGTTTTATCTGAACCTGTGGAGTGTTTTTGTTGCTCATACGTGGCAGCGCTAACTACTTCATTAATTATAACCTTCACAATTGCAAAGCATTCATAGTTACGAAGTTGATTCCACCACCATACTATACATACGATAACAACCGATGATGGTTGGAACTACAGGAAGTTACCGGTAGACGCTTGCAAAGCGTTCAGACGAAATAATCGCCAAGTTTACTTTCGGTTACGTTTACGCGAAAGAAATGTTGCTCAATGCGTAACCTGAATTTTGTGTGCGTTTTCATACGCTTAAATTTTGTTTTGAATGCGTAAACGTGTTATTTCCATGCGTAATTTACGCGTATACGCATCTTATCTGGAGCCCTGAACATACTCGATCACTATTGAATGTATTTAACATAGTCTACATAAATAATTGTTAAATACAAAATAAAAAAAAATGAGGGGTGAAGTGCCTCAATCAATTTTCTTAAAATGAGGGGTGAAGTGTCTGCAAAAAAGGGCCTAGGGTGAAGTGTCTGGGGGGTGAAGTGTCTGTAAGCCAATTATTTCTGAAAAAACAAACAAAAAAACCCCACGAAAACAACAACAAAAACACACACACAGGAAGTTGCCCCAGGTTGACCCAAAGCCTGTATGGACAAGTGGAAATTTACATGAAAATACTATAATATGAAAAAGGCAAAGCATCAAAGCGAGCTTGATTTTCTTTTTGTATAATAGTTGTTCATTTTTATTTTACATTTTTCGTTTTAAAATTGTCATTCGGTATTTTATACACTGCTTCCGTTTATTCTGGTTCCTCCTTTCTGTTATGGTTCCCATATAAGTGTGCAGGACACCAGTTTATGCTTCCGTTTTCAATCAGAGTACATCGGCTTTTATCGTTCTCTTGTAAAGCGGAAAGTTGCGATGTGTCAATATGGTACTTCGGACAAAAGTTTTTAAAACCATCACCTAGCAGGTACTGGCGTTGCCGAAAAGCTCACTATAAATATCATGCAGTCAAGATAACAAATGCGATTGTGTTTTGGCTTCACTTAAAAACTGACAAGTTAGTCAAAATCGGATTTGTTAACCAAGTAAATTATGTTATTATTATAGAGATGATGACCGAGACAAGAAGAGGGAAAGATCACGGTCACCACACCGCACTGATTCCAAAGATGAAAAACATAAATCAATATTTGAACAGTTCAACATTCCCAAACCACAACTACAGATCAATCCATTCACAGGTATGTTATATGCATTAAAGTCCAGAATGATTATAACTGACCTTGTGTTACAAACAAGCACTGGGATTGATCAAGCATGCATACAAGTTGCTCTAGTTTATTTGTTAATAGATCTCTGTAAATTTCAATTAAGTCTGCATATAAAGCAAGTTTTATTTAAGATTTATAACTTAAGGTAAAACAGTATTTCTCAAAGTGCATGGAGCAACTCATCCTGTAGTATTTTATTTGAGAGCGATTGTTTATTTCAGGGTTACCACACACACCACGTTACTTACAGCTTCTTGCTAAAAGGAAGACATTGCCGGTATGGGAGTACAAAGAAAAGTTTGTAGAGGTGCTAAATAAACATCAGACGCTAGTACTTGTCGGAGAGACAGGGTCTGGAAAAACTACACAGGTAAATCTTACTCCTGATTTGACTTTTCAAGCTTTGCTGTTGCCAAGTTAACACAGGCATTTCTTATTAAAGTTAAAGTTGCAAGATAATTTTGGAAGAAAAAACTGGGTTACACATGTATGCGAACTTTTATGCAAATACGGATATGGTTATGTTTGGATAAGTCAAGATATGGGAGATTTTTGTGCCCCCACGTTAGTGGCGGGCATTTAGATTTACCCTTGTCCGTCTGTCTGTCCGTCCGTCCTTCCGTCCGTCCGTCCGTTCACTTTTGTGTCGCACGTAACTCAAAAAGTATTTGACCTAGAGTCATGAAACTTTACAGGAATGTTGATCAGCATGTGAAGTTGTGCACCTGGGTATTTTCGTCTGGATATTTTTAGTATTTTCAGAGTTATTGCCCTTGACTTAGTAAAATTTTGCAATTTTCAACTTGTGTCGCATGTAACTCAAAAAGTATTTGACCTAGAGTCATGAAACTTAACCGGAATGTTGATCAGCATATGTAGTTGTGCACCTGGGTATTTTTGTGTGGATATTTTTAGTATTTTCAGAGTTATTACCTTGACTTAGTAAAATTTTGCAATTTTCAACTTGTGTCGCATGTAACTCAAAAAAAGTATTTGACCTAGAGTCATGAAACTTTACAGGAATGTTGATCAGCATGTGTAGTTGTGCACCTGGGTATTTTTGTGTGGATATTATTAGTATTTTCAGAGTTATTGCCCTTGACTTAGTAAAATTTTGCAATTTTCAACTTGTGTGGCACGTAACTCAAAAAGTATTTGACTTAGAGTCATGAAACTTTACAGGAATGTTGATCAGCATGTGTAGTTGTGCACCTGGGTATTTTCGTCTGGATGTTTTTTGTATTTTTTGAGTTATTGCCCTTTACTTAGTAAAAATTTTGCAATTTTCAACATGTGTCGCACGTAACTCAAAAAGTATTTGACCTAGAGTCATGAAAACTTTATAGGAATGTTGATCAGCATGTGCAGTTGTGCACCAGGTATTTTCGTCTGGGTTTATTTAGTATTTTTAGAGCTATTGCCCTTGACTTAGAAAATTTTTGCAATTTTCAACTTGTGTCGCAAGTTACTCAAAAAGGATTTGACATATTCATTAAACCTTACGGGCAGATTGCTCAGCATATTTAGATTTGCACCTGGGGTTTCGCTTGTGGATTTATCCAGTATTTGTAGAGTTATTTCCCTTGACTTAGTAAAAAGATTGACAGAACAGTGGCGCGGTGGGGGCACCCGTGTCCTATGGACACATTTCTAGTTAAATGTTTATATCTTCTTTTAAACAACGTATTGCCAACTGTTTAGAACAAAGTTGGTCTGACGACATCTATTTTTTATTAATGTTTCTTTTAAATAGGAAATGCAAAATTTCCTTTTAGGAAATATTTGGTTTTTCGATGTTCAAAATTTTATAGGTTAAAAGAAATTGGGCGCCATTATGGTATTGAGAGATCAGATAGAATATGTCCATACTGTTTTATTAATAGTAACTGTTTAGTTTATTGAAAATGAATACCATGCCTTTTTTATTTGTCCCATGTGTGATAGTATCAGACAACAATATCTGTTTAATTGGTATAAGGGAAGACTAGAACCAGTAAATTTCTCATACTTAATCAGAACCTAACATCATCCTACATTAAATAGTTTAGCAAATGAAAACTGAACGTCATCCTACATTAAAAAGTACATTTTGCATGGTTACAGCAAACTTTGTCTTGATACAGCATGAGAAGTTTCACTGCAAATGGCAAAACCATGATGCTATTGATTATGCTTTGAAATGGGCATAAGATTCTCCTCATGCTCATGATTCTTCGCATGCAAAGTCTAAACAGTTATTTAATTAAGCGATAAAATCTCTGCTTGGGATATACTATTTCTTAGTTTCTTTGCAACTGAATAGATTTTTTACAGTGGATTAAAAATTTTGTTTTTCAGATTCCCCAATGGTGTCTAGATTGGGTGCGGTTACGATATAACAAGAAGGGCGTGGCATGCACACAACCCCGTAGGGTAGCTGCAATGTCTGTTGCACAGCGTGTATCCGAGGAAATGGACGTCGGTCTCGGACAGGAAGTTGGTTACAGCATCAGATTTGAAGACTGCACATCATCAAAAACCATTCTCAAGTAAAACTATGTTTTGTTAGAAAAGAAAAAAATGTTTGAAATTCAGCAATTTTCACTAGCATTTTAAAGATATACTATGCTCATCTTTGAGTAAAATATTTTCTTTGCAGAAATTTTTTGAAGTCTAGCAAATTCTTACTGAATAAAAGAACATACACACTATGTATGGGAAGCTACGTTTCTTATTACGGGTCAAGAAAAGCTGGTCCTCTCTTAAAGCAAAACATATCTACTTTGTGTGAAGTCAAAACATGTTTGTTTTATATAATATTTACAAAAAGACAGTGTAGCAGTTTGTAATATTTTCAAATATCAAATTTTAGCATAGTGTATCTTCAAGGGAAGTCTTCAAATAAGATAATCATAAAAAATCTCTTTGACTTCATTGAAAAAGTTTTCAGTTACTGCACCTGTTTCATTGAAATATTTTACATAAAAATTATGTTGATAAAAGATGTTAGTTATCAAGAATGTAAAACTTTTGTGTTGTACAGATACATGACTGACGGTATGTTGCTAAGAGAAGCTATGTCTGATCCACTTCTTGAGAACTACGGTGTTGTCATAATTGATGAGGCTCACGAACGTTCACTGGCTACAGATATTCTGATGGGTCTATTGAAGGAAGTGGCGAAACAGAGACACGATCTCAAAATTATCATTATGAGTGCTACATTGGACGCTGGTAAATTTCAGGTAATGCTTTTCAGTGTAGGCATGATTCTTTCTCCTTCAAAAATTAAATTGAATGTCTATATGATATTTTCTTTATTGACTAGGGCAGTGTCTATTCTAGGACGGGGGGGGGGGGAATGGGGGGATTCATCCCTATTTTTGAAGAATTCCCCCCTATTTTTCCAGAGGCAGGGGGAAAATTTTACAGAGGAAGGGAAAAAAATCTACAAATGTAATAAATTCTGACTTTTCGAAAAAAAATCCCCCGTTTTTCAAATCCTAGAATAGACACTGCTAGGGTGAATTGTTTCTTTTGAACATTTACCAGCTTTTATATGCTTGTTTAAAAAATTCACAGTAAGAACATTACACCATATTATTAAACAATTGTTGGAACATCGCATTATATAGATACAGTTAAACCTTTGTTAAAGAACACCTTTGAAAGACGGGTCATGCTGTAAATAAAGGTTAATGTTTTACTTTCAGAATTATTTTGACAATGCACCATTGATGAGTGTACCTGGAAGAACGCATCCTGTGGAGATTTTCTACACGCCGGAGCCCGAGAGAGATTATTTAGAGGCGGCCATTAGAACAGTGCTACAGATACACATGTGTGAAGAAATTGAGGGAGATATTCTTCTCTTTCTTACAGGACAAGAGGTAAGCTTCTTTAAAATTCTCCCGCCTGGGTGTAAACAATTCCTTTCTTGTGCCGACTTGTCATTTCTTGAAGGATATTTACCAAACTTTCACAGTGAATATGACAAACATATGTTGTTTAAAGTGATTTGATGATTTAAGCAGAATAATGGTCTTCCTTTTTCTTTATTTCCATGATTAATATGAAAAATTAGAGGAAAACATGGTTTTGTTAGATACGTTAATTTTTATACGCCCGTTGTCCAATTTTGTCCGGAGCATATCTCCTACATGTATGAAGGGATTTTAATGAAACTTCATAGAAATATTCACCACTATGAGGAGCAGTGTCGCGCACATGAACCAGGTCTCTAGGTCAAAGGTCAAGGTCACTCTTAGAGCTCATTGAAAAATGCTTGTCCGGAGCAAAACTTCCACATGTATAGAGGGATTTCAATATTACTTGGCACAAATGTTCACCATTGTGAGGCGGAGTGTCGCGCGCAAGATTCAGGTCCTTGCGGCCAAGGTCAAGGTCACACATAGAGGTCAAAGTTCAGATAAAAATATGAAGATGGTGTTTCATGGACCAATTTAGTCATCATTATTGAGGGATTGTAACACAAATGGTCATTATCAAGACTATGGCTGTGATACATATATTTAGGTCAATATATACAAGGTCAAGGTCACTAAGATGATGAAATTTCCAGATTTTGTCCAGAGCATATCTCCTACACGCATGGAGGGATTTAAATGAAATTTCATAGAAATGTTCACCATTATGAGAAGCCATGTCACGCACAAGAATTAGGTCTCTAGGTCAAAGGTCAAGATCATTTATTGAGGGATTGTAACACAAATGGTTATTATCATGACTACGGCTGTGACACATGTACTTTAGGTCATTATATGCAAGGTCAAGGTCACTAAAGATGGTGAAATATCCAGATTTTGTCTGGAGCATATCTCCTACATGTATGGAAGAATTTTTATAATACTTTATGGAAATGTTCACCACCATGATATGTATTGCTCCATGCATGATCCAGGTTCTCCAGGTCAAAGGTCAAGGTCACACTTAGAGCTCATTGAAAAACGCTTGTCCGGAGCAAAACTTCTACATTCATAGGGGGATTTTCAATATAACTTGGCACAAATGTTCACCATTGTGAGGCTGAGTGTCGCACGCAAAATTCAGATCCCTGCGACCAAAGTCAGGTTACACATAGAGGTCAAAGTTCAGATAAAAATATGAAGATGTGTATAGGGACCATTTAGTCATTATTTATTGATGGATTGTGAAGCACATATGGTAACTATCATGACTACAGGTGTGACACATTTAATTTAGGTTAATATTTGCAAGGTCAAGGTCACTGGAGATAATTAAATATCCAGATGTTGTCCGGAGCATATTTTCTACATGCATGGAGGAATTTTAATGTGAATTTATAGAATTGTTCACCACCATGAGACATATTGCCCTGCACATGAACCAAGTCTCTAGGTCAAAGGTGAAGGTCACAGTTTAGAGCTCATAGAAAAACGCTTGTCTGGAGCAAAACTTCTACATGCATAGAGGATTTCAATATAATTTGGCAACAAATGTTCATCATTGTGAGGCTGAGTGCCGTGCATAAAATTCAGGTCCCTGCGACCAAGGTCAAGGTCACACATCCTGTGCAATATCTTCCCTACTGATTTGTTTTGAAAGGTTCATTTAACAACACAGTGCCAAGAATAAAAACTTGCTTGCTAGATAACACTTATCCATAATGCCCCCATCTCCATCTAAAGCTTTCGTAAATGGGCGTATTTTGTGACTATGGCACCCTTGTTTAAATCTTGTACAACCTATCAAGAAAATTCATCAACAAGTGGTAGGATATTGTGAAAAAAATACTGAGGAGTACATCATTCAAAAAGGCATATTTTCCTGTAAATAATAGTACAAAACTAGTACCTTAATCAATCTATAAGATAATTTATGAAGTATTACAATAATCATCTATAGTTTACAAAATTAGGGTAAGAATAAAGACAAATATTTCATTTGATTTGTGCAGGAGATTGATGAAGCTTGTAAGAGAATACAACGTGAAGTAGACAATCTGGGACCAGATGTAGGAGACATGAAATGTATCCCCTTATACTCCACCTTACCACCAAATCTACAGCAAAGAATCTTCGAACCTCCACCGCCAAACAAACCAAATGGAGCCATTGGTAGGAAAGTTGTTGTCTCCACTAACATTGCTGAGACCTCGCTGACCATTGATGGAGTAGTGTTTGTGATTGATCCGGGATTTGCAAAACAAAAGGTAAGGCATTATTGTAGAAGGGTTGTAACTCATATTAAAAAAAAAAAGATGGAGTTACAACCCTTTCTTACCAAGCTGTCAATATATACAATATTTATAGTTTTGTCCTTGAAATATTGAGTTTTCCTAGTGAAGATTTTCATTGTTGTTTTTTTTGTCGCATCTGCCCAAGTGATTTGATCCAGTTATGATAGATGTTTTAAGGCTGTCTTTGGTTGCCAGTGTGACATTTTTATCACATTAGGAATTTCTGATTGCCAATATTGAAAATAGACTTGAGTAGAAGTGATGTGATTTTAATGTTGCATTGCTATGGACATATTTCTGACATTGATTGTTGTTAAAGTAAGTAGAGCATTATTTCTAGCATATCGGACAGGGTTCTGTGCTGAGGCAATATTTGTTTGGGTCGTCATACCAAACAAATAATGGTAGCGAAATTTCAGACTAATGCTGTTAATTGCAAATGCCGAAAGTAGTCCGCTTTTTTGAAGCGGTTACTTCCCTTTATATGTAACACTAAGGCCGAAAAATTCAAGGGAGATCACTGCGTAAATATGGTCAATTTTCAAGCAAAATAATTCCCGAATGGTCGAAGATTCTAATATTGTTTTATTCTTTATAGATATACATGCTTATAGTAAGCGTCATGATTATATACACAAGTGTTAATCAACAGTTAGCATCGTTACAAACCCTAATTTATAATAATATGGTTTTCTTCAGGCCGTTAACATATAAATTCACCGTGGCCGAGGGGTTTGCGCGCTCGCTTAGGAAGCGAGAGGTCTGGAGTTCAAATCCCAGTTAAGGCAACTCATTTTTTTTCAATTGTTTAAGTCAAATAAACATTGGATTGAATATCAGTGTTGCAATAAGTCTTATAGCCAATCTACTACAATTAAAACGCTGGAAAGCATTGGTGACACTATACAAAACAAATTGTTTTATAATCTCACAACCTTCACCTTTCTGACATTCTGAGACCCAAACAAATTCAGGGCCTTCTGTGCTTTGATTTTATTTGATAGTAAGCTTTTACCTAAAAAAAAATAATAAAAAAAATATCTAAGTACCTTAGGAACATGAAAATTTGATCATTTTTCATAATGAAATAAATTTTAGCATTTATGATGTGATACCACAATATTTAATAGGAATATGTTAAGAACTAGATAAAAACATTATTATTCAGTCACAGATCTTCTTGTAAGGCAATCTTTGGTTACCAGTATGATTTTGTTCATTGACTGGAATTTCAGATTGCCAATATTGAAAATAGACTTCAGTAGAAGTGATGTGATAACAATGTTGCATTGCTATGGACATATTTCTGACATTTGTTCATTAACTTAAGTTGCATGTATTTGACAATATATTTTTATTTTATTGTAAGCTGTTTGAAAAATGATTTAAAATGCTTTGGATATTGCTTTCATCAAATAATTGATAAATATATTGAATTTTAAGCTTTTGCTATTTGAGGCCATAGTTACTAATTACTATGAATATAAATGTTAAAGACTAGATCATAACATCCCCCGTCATTTTAAATTTTTGAAGGCAGTCTTTTGGTTACCAGTATGATTTATTTCATTTCCTGGAATTTCAGATTGCCAATATTGAAAATAGACTTCAGTAGAAGTGATGTAATTTTAATGTTGCATTGCTATGGACATATTTCTGACATTTGTTCATTAACTAAATGAAAAATAAGGTTATTGATTAGTTTGCAAACTGTTTGAACAACTTTTCAAGGACAATTATTTACATAGTTGAAAATATTTGGTCATTTAATCAATTTTGAGTTAAGTGATGTGATTTTAGCGTTGCATTGCTATGGACATATTTCTGACATTTGTTCATTCTCAAATGACAAGATGAAAATAAAGTTATTAATAAGGTTGCAAATTAATTAGGTTTGAACAACTTTTTAAGGACCATAATTTACATAATAGAAAATATTTGGTCATTTAATCAATTTTGAGTTCTTGCTTTTCCATGCCACTTGCAGTCATCGAATTTAGCACTGGCTGGGTGGCCCATAGCCAGTGAAAATTTTAAGAAAATTTAGTAAAATGTATAGTAGAATAAATTCAAATCTGGAATTACAGCTAGTAATTTCAAAATCTTAAATTCATTTACTGCACTTGTATTTTATAGTTTAAAGGATGAAAAATAGATTGAAATATCTTTAGTTATTTTAAAGGCAATCTTTGGTTACCAGTATGATTTATTTCATTGGCTGGAATTTCAGATTGCCAATATTAAAAATAGACTTCAGTAGAAGTGATGTGATTTTAGTGTTGCATTGCTATGGACATATTTCTGACATTTGTTATTTCTGACATTAAAAATCTTACTCATACAAAGATTGTGTGATATGAGTGAAGTGGTAGTGTAATATTCCCCTTAATTCAGCACTTTTTCCCTTATTTAATTGGGTTAATCCTTTCCCAATCATACATACATACATTTTTTTCCAAATGTTTACTGGAAAAAATCTCAATTTTATAAGCTTAAGATATCATATTTGCCAAGTAATCAATCCCCACAAAAAAACTTAATTTAGATTTATACTGGGCCAATGGAACATGTTCACATAGTAATGATAAGATAATCAAGCAGTTAGAACTTAATCATTTTTTTTAAGAAAATCCAAATGATACATTTCTATTGTTTTTATCAATATTTAAAAACACTATTGGAAAAATATGACCCTTGGAGACCTATCCACTTTTAGACTAGATGAAAACGTCTTTAGTCATATTAGGTTTTTGAAGGCAATCTTTGGTTACCAGTATGATTTATATCATTGGCTGGAATTTCAGGTTGCCTATATTAAAAATAGACTTCAGTAGAAGTGATGTGAACCATAATTGTTGCATTGCTATGGACATATTTCTGACATTGTTTACTTTTCAGAAGGTAAACTAGTAAAGTTTGATGTGAAATCGTACTCAAAAGGTCTGAAAAAATGACAAACAGCTTGATAATAATATTTTATTGTATGGTGCCAATTCCGGGTTGTTTTTTTTTTAGCTCACCTGAGCACAAAGTGCTCAAGGTTATCTTTTGTGATAAAAAAAAATTGCCTGTTGTCAGTCAGTGCGTCTATGTTATGATTTCAGTTTAAGGGTATTGCATTATATCAGTCTTTCATTCATTGCTAACAATACTAATTTAGAGCCTCAATTATCAGATTAGAGATATAAGGGCCATCATGGCCATCTTGCTTTCATGATTCAGGAAAATTCATTCAGATTTATATCTATTTTTAGGTGTACAACCCTAGAATTCGAGTTGAGTCATTATTGGTGACTGCCATTAGTAAGGCGAGTGCACAGCAGAGGGCAGGTCGAGCCGGGAGAACAAAACCAGGAAAATGTTTTAGACTTTATACAGAAAAAGCGTTTAAGCAAGAGATGCAAGAAAACACATATCCCGAAATATTGAGATCAAATCTTGGTTCTGTTGTATTACAGTTGAAGAAATTAGGAATTGACGATCTTGTGCATTTTGATTTCATGGATCCCCCAGGTTAGCTATACTTCTTATATGATATAGAGATTTATACAGCTTTATTCTAAAATTAAAGTACATAATGACCTTAGCTGCGCATGTTTTTATTGAATATCATGTTTATTTTTTACAGCTCCGGAAACCCTGATGAGAGCTCTGGAGTTGCTGAACTATTTGGCAGCACTCGATGACAATGGTGACTTGACGGAATTGGGGTCTATGATGGCCGAGTTCCCTCTTGATCCACAGCAGGCTAAGATGGTCATAGCTAGTACAGACTTTAACTGCTCGAACGAGATCCTCTCTATAACTGCTATGTTATCAGGTATAATCTCATTTTATGTGTGTCTGGATCATATTTTTATCCGTGTGATATTCTGAAATATACTCGTAATGGTTACACTGATACAATTGGTGATAAAATAATCATTTATTATTGCTTCATTGTGAAATTTCAAGTTGATTATGAACTTGAATTATTTTGGTTAAAAAACTTGCGAAAAGATAGTTCAGACAGTGACTGGTGGGCTTTAAGTTATTTTCGTGAACAATTTTAGATGTTAAGTTAGTTGATGATTTTTACAAGTGATTTAGGATAGGTTAGGGCACCACCAAGTTCACTGTCTGATAGATTAGCTCTTTTTAGTTTTCATATACATTTGAGATCTAATGGAGAGGGGAATGGGTCCATTTGGGCCCCGACCCAACACTTCTTAGTCCCGCAGTGTTTTGTGCGTCCTACGGAGCTACGGAAGGCAGCTGATGAATGCAAGATGAGATTTGCCCACATAGACGGTGATCATCTGACACTGCTTAACGTTTACCACGCCTTCAAACAGAGTAAGTTAAAGTATCTATTAATATAATTTCCAATTTTAGCATGTTGTACTAAATTGTGATGAAATAAACATACAAGTTTATAGCTTCAAGGTGTAGAACTCAAAAATGATGTGAATTACAGTAATTTATCATTAATTAAAATAACTGTTTAGCCAAAAAACTTAATTATGTCTCCCCCACCTCGGGGGGAGACATATTGTTTTTGCCCTGTCCGTCCGTCAGTCCGTCCGTCAGTCCGTCCGTCCGTCAGTCCGTCCGTCCATTCTTCGTTTCCGGACGATAACTAGAGTTCCTTTTGACCTACAGCTCTCAAACTTCATAGGATGATTGGTCTTATAGAGCTGATGATCCCTATTGTTTTTGGGGTCAGTAGGTCAAAGGTCAAGGTCACACTGACCGTTGGTCAATTTCTCGTTTCCGGATGATAACTAGAGTTCCTTTTGACCTACAGCTCTCAAACTTCATAGGATGATTGGTCTTATAGAGCTGATGATCCCTATTGTTTTTGGGGTCAGTAGGTCAAAGGTCAAGGTCACACTGACCGTTGGTCAATTTCTCGTTTCCGGATGATAACTAGAGTTCCTTTAGACCTACAGACCTCAAACTTCATAGGATGATTGGTCTTATTGAGCAGATGATCCCTATTGTTTTTGGGGTCAGTAGTTCAAAGGTCAAGGTCACAGTGACCGTTGGTCAATTTCTCGTTTCCGGATGATAACTAGAGTTCCTTTTGACCTACAGCCCTCAAAACTTCATAGGATGATTGGTCTTATAGAGCAGATGATCCCTATTGTTTTTGGGTCAGTACGTCAAAGGTCAAGGTCACAGTGACCGTTGGTCAATTTCCTCATTTCCGGATGATAACTAGAGTTCCTTTTGACCTACAACCCTCAAACTTCATAGGATGATTGGTCTTATTAATCAAATGATCCCTATTGTTTTAATGGTCAGTAGGTCAAAGGTCAAGGTCACAGCGACCGTTGGTTAATTTCTCCTTTCCGGATGATAACTAGAGTTCCTTTAGACCTACAACCCTCAAACTTCATAGGATGATTGGTCTTATTGAGCAGATGATCCCTCTTGTTTATGGGTCAGTAGGTCAAAGGTTAAGGTCACAGTGACCATTGGTCATTTTCTCATTTCCGGATGATAACTAGAGTTCTTATCAGTGAGGACATTTAACTATTATTGATATATCAGTGATATATCAGTTGTCTGGTTTTATATACTCTGTTCTTTTATCTCCATTTCCATTCCTGTTTCCATTCTCAGTTATTCTCAGCAGTGGGGGAGACATGCGCTTTTTTACAAAAGCATCCTCTAGTTTTTTTATTCCTTCTGAGGCATGTTTATATAGGGTAAACCTTTTAGAAATGTGTTTAACATGTAAAAGTGATTAGTACAAGATTTTTGCACATGATATAGACAGTACCTTGTGCTGTATGTCATATTTACTTGCTACAATTCTTTAATTTGAAAAGACTATCGGGGTAACTGGCATTAGGTTGGTGGTTCTATTCCTTTGCTCGCTGTGCCTGAAATCTAGTCTGAAATACTGTATACAACTGTGAAGTGTTTTTTTCCAGTGATTCACGGTTTCTGAATAACCCAAGTGAAAATTTGTTGTCTGTATGAAGAGGCGCCCAATGTCTGCTTAAGTAAATCGGGAAAGAACCAAATTTATGACATTTATGATATTGTGATGTAATACCATAACCTTCTATTCCCGCAACCCATCTCTTATTTAACATTTAGATTTGGTTGTACACGATGTCACTGCAATTTTGTATATCTATTTACAGACCAAGAAGATCCGCAGTGGTGTTATGACAACTTTATAAACTTCCGATCATTGAAGAGTGCGGACAATGTACGTCAACAGTTGGCGAGGATCATGGACCGGTTCAACTTGAAGAGAAGCAGTACAGAGTTCACCAGTCGCGATTACTACCTGAATATACGTAAAGCTCTGGTGTCCGGTTTCTTTATGCAGGTGAATATTTACAAAAAATTATAATTATGAAGTCTAGTTTATCAAAATTGCAAAAATTGTTAGCGTAAGTGATGTTTTATGTTTTCTGGATATGTATTAAAAGTTATATGTTTGTTCGATCTTTCACTTGCTTAACCCTTTCGCTGCCAGAGGGTTATTTATTTATTGATCATCTATTTGCCAGAAGGTTTTCTAAGAAATTACTATATTATTAATTAATATAATTATGCCCCCATTTCGAAGAAAAGGGGGTATATTGCTTTGCACTTGTCGGTCCGTCGGTCCGTAGACCAAATGGTTTCCGAGTGATAACTAAAGAACCCTTAGGCCTTGGAACTTCAAACTTGGTATGGTGATTGGTCATGACAAGTAGATGACCCCTAATGATTTTGGGGTCAAGGGGTCAAAGGTCAAGGTCACATTGACCTTGTAAGCAAGAACGGTTTCCGATCAATAACTAAAGAACCTTAAGGCCTAGGAACTTCAAACTTGGTATGGTGATTGGTCATGATCAGTAGATGACCCCTATTGTTTTTGGTGTCAAGGGGTCAAAGGTCAAGGTCACATTGACCTTGTAAGCAAAAACGGTTTCCGATCAATAAGTAAAGAACCTTAAGGCCTAGGAACTTCAAACTTGGTATGGTGATTGGTCATGATCAGTAGATGACCCGGGTCAAAGGTCAAGGTCACATTGACCTCTTGGGTAAAAACGGTTTCCGATCAATAACAAAAGAACCCTTAGGCCTAGGAACTTCAAACTTGGTATGGTGATTGGTTATGACCAGCAGATGACCCCTATTGATTTTGGGGTTAAGGGGTCAAAGGTCAAGGTCACATTGACCTTGTAGGTTAAAACGGTTTCCGATCAATAACGAAAGAACCCTTAGGCCTAGGGACTTCAAACTTGATATGGTGATTGGTCATGATCAGTAGATGACCCTTATTGATTTTGGGGTCAAGGGGTCAAAGGTCAAGGTCACATTGACCTCTTAGGTAAAAACAGTTTCCGATCAATAACTAAAGAACCCTTAGGCCTAGGAACTTCAAACTTGGTATGGTGATTGGTCATGATCAGTAGATGACCCCTATTGATTTTGGGGTCAAGTGGTCAGAGGTCAAGGTCACATTGACCTCTTAGATAAAAACAGTTTCCGATCAATAACTAAAGAACCCTTAGGCCTAGGAACTTCAAACTTGGTATGGTGATTGGTCATGACCAGCAGATGACCCCTATTGATTTTGGGTTTAAGGGGTCAAAGGGCAAGGTCACATTGACCTTGTAGGTAAAAATGCTTTCCGATCAATAACTAAAGAACCCTTAGGCCTAGGAACTTCAAACTTGGTATGGTGATTGGTCATGACCAGCAGATGACCTATTGTTTTGTGGGTCAAGGGGTCAAAGGTCATGTAACATTGACCTTGTAGGTAAAAAGGTTTCCGATCAATTAACTAAAAACGCTGAGGCCTAGGAACTTCAAACTTTGTATGATGATTGGTGGTGACCAGCAGATGACCCCTATTGAGTTTTTGGTCAAGGGTCATAGGTCAAGGTCACATTGACCTTGTAAGTAAAACGGTTTCTGATCAATAACTTAAGAACGCTTAGGCCTAGGAACTTCAAACTTGGTATGGTGATTTTTCATGACCAGCAGATGATCCCTATTGATTTTGGGGTCAAAGGTCAAGGTCACATTGACCTTGTATGTTAAAACGGTTTCGGATCAATAATAAAAGAACCCTTAGGCCTAGGAACTTCAAACTTGGCATGGTGATTAGTCATGACCAGCAAATGACCCCTATTGATTTGGGGGGTCAAGGGGTCAAAGGTCAAGGTCACATTGACCTTGTAGGTAAAAACGGTTTCTGATCAATTAACTTAAAACGCTTAGGCCTATGAACTTCAAACTTTGTATGATGATTGGTCTTGACCAGCAGATGACCCCTATTGAGTTTTTTGGTCAAGGGGTCAAAGGTCAAGGTCATGACCAGTAGATACTTGATAACCCTTAGTAATTGTTTGATCACTGGGTCAGAAGTCATGCATAATTACCTTATCACATGAATAATTGGCTGCTGATAGGGGGCATACATGTTTTACAAACATATCTTGTTATTATTATTTGTTATTAGTATTATAATAATTTTGTTAGTATTATAATAATGTTCCAAATCTGCTAGTATATAATAATTATTGTCGATGGTATAATTATCTATATATTTACTATTATTATAAATATTATTATTGTAATAATTATTATTATTATTATAGAAACGGCAAAAGCCGTCCATATGGCAAATACGCAGAAAATAATAGGGACGGCATATGCCGTCCCTATGGCAGTGAAAGGGTTAAGTACATATATATTCAAAATTTAGGTGGGAAAAAAAATTTGTGAAGGGTAGATGTATGTAGTATGTACAAGGCTTGAACTAGAGGCTCAATTCAATAATTGCTTCTCTACGCCTCCATTAAGTCTTGATTTTCTGGAGTTACCGAAGAAGCAAAAATCAAATTTGAATAACACTATAATCTGTCAAAATGTTTGTTTTGATTCATAGTTGTTCATATAACTGAAATGAATTTCATATAACTGTAAAATGAGGTTCATATAACTGTGTAATGAATTTCATACAGCTTTGTTATGAGTTTCATACAGCTATGTAATGAGTTTCATATAACTATGAGTTTCATATAACTACTAAGTTTCATACTATTTTGTAATTAATTTCATATAAGTGTAATGAAATTTACAGGACTAATGAGTTTCATAAAACTGTAATGAGTTTCATATAACTGGAATCAGTTCCATATAACTAGAATGTGTTTCATATGATTTTATGAGTTTCATATAACTCACTGTAAGGAATTTCATACGACTAATCATTTCATATAGCAGTGATCAATTTCATAATATGATTCACTGTTTCAAAATAACATAGTAGAAATTGTGGTATTTTATTTCCAGTACTACCTCTCATTGAGTACTTAAAAAATAAAAAAAATAAACTACAATAATCTTAAACTTATTTGAAATGAACATTTTATAAATCAATATGTTTATATAATTATGTTTTTAGTATTATAGCATTCTCCATAGCTTCTCTACGCCTTCATTAAGTCAATATTTTCTGGAGTTACCGAAGAAGCTGAAAGCAATATTAAAGAACTACATTGTAATTCAAAATGTGATTATTTTGATTCATAGTTTTTTATACAGTTATTAAGACTCATATAAAAAGATTTTAACATCACTCTTGAAAAACTACGAAATGGAATAAATCACAAATCCTTAACTTAAGCTCCCATTGCATTTAATTCTGTCCATGATAGATCATGTTCTTAATTGAAGTTCTTAAAGTTCCTGTATGTTGTAATTGAGGTTGTATACCACACTTGAGTGAAAGTAATATGTATATAATTATGCTTATGAAACAATTTTCAAACATCGAAGAATATGTAAAATATGTGCTGCAAATATTTTATGTAATCATTAAAATATATGCATTCATTTCTTATTGAAAAATTCGACTTAGACTTTATAGAAAGACTTTATAGAAAATAGATTCTTTATTACCTCCTTTTGTTTACATGAAATGTTAAATTTGGTGATATCTTTATAAATAAAGCTTTTGGAATTTACAAAATTGAAAAATCTTAATTTAAGCATCATATTTATGATATAAAACCATAAAAAATTTGTGTTACAGGATCTTTAACATGATCCATTTAATTTCTATATGTCTCAAGAAAAGATAAGATATGGTGTCTTTCTTGTATCAACTCGGATAGCTTCTCTACGCCTTCATTTAGTCATTATTTTCTGAAGTTACCAAAGAAGCTTAAAGCAATCTTGAAATAAATGTAATATTTCTCAAAATGTTTATTTTGATCTATCATTTGCTCAAACAGCTGTATTAACTTGTCATTTATATATGATGGTGCAAATTCTGATGTTTGTTTTTCCCACTCCATATTGATAATTTATGTCATATAATGCGGTTCATCTTGGATATTCCGATCCGCAATATATATTCTACCATATTCCATTATTATTATACCCCCGCACAACAAAGTTGTAAGGGGGGTATACTGGAATAAGCTTGTCCGGCCGTCCGGCTGTCCATCGGTTTTTTCTTGTCCGCCCAATAACTTAAGATTCCTTTGACCCTTAGTCTTCATATTTGGCATGGAGGTTAGTCATGATTAGTAGATGACCCCTATTGATTTTGAGGTCACTAGGTCAAAGGTCAAGGTCACAGGGGCCTTGACTTCAAAAAGCTTGTCCGCCCAATAACTTAAGATTCCTTTGACCTACAGTCTTCATATTTGGCATGGAGGTTAGTCATGATTAGTAGATGACCCCTATTGATTTTGACGGTCACTAGGTCAAAGGTCAAGGTCACAGGGGCCTTGACTTCAAAAAGCTTGTCCGCCCAATAACTTAAGATTCCTTTGACCTACAGTCTTCATATTTGGCATGGAGGTTAGTCATGATTAGTAGATGACCCCTATTGATTTTGAGGTCACTAGGTCAAAGGTCAAGGTCACAGGGGCCTTGACTTCAAAAAGCTTGTCCGCCCAATAACTTAAGAATTCCTTTGACCTACAGTCTTCATATTTGGCATGGAGGTTAGTCATGATTAGTAGATGACCCCTATTGATTTTGAGGTCACTAGGTCAAAGGTCAAGGTCACAGGGGCCTTGACTTCAAAAAGCTTGTCTGCCCAATAACTTAAGATTCCTTTGACCTACAGTCTTCATATTTGGCATGGAGGTTAGTCATGATTAGTAGATGACCCCTATTGATTTTGAGGTCACTAGGTCAAAGGTCAAGGTCACAGGGGCCTTGACTTCAAAAAGCTTGTCCGCCCAATAACTTAAGATTCCTTTGACCTACAGTCTTCATATTTGGCATGGAGGTTAGTCATGATAAGTAGATGACCCCTATTGATTTTGAGGTCACTAGGTCAAAGGTCAAGGTCACAGGGGCCTTGACTTCAAAAAGCTTGTCCGCCCAATAACTTAAGATTCCTTTGACCTACAGTCTTCATATTTGGCATG